TGGTTCGCGAGGTGGTGTAATCCTCCTACTCCACTTGCTCTTTTCTCCAAGAGCCAATTCACTATATCTACCACTCCTTGGTTCCAAGATACAATGAATTTCCGTGATCTAGTGCTTTGATCACAAAGCCCGCACTAATCACGCCCAGTGACACCACACTGCTGCTTCGGGTTTCACGTCGCCGCGCTACTATCCCAGGATTTCACAACTCCGCGTTACTTTCCCCCCGTCTTCCACACTCCGGTAGAAACGTATCCGTGATCTGGTGCTTTGATCACCAAGCCCACACCAATCACGCCCAGTGCCTCCGACACTGCTGCTTCGGATCTCACAGCTCCGTGTGACAATCCAGGATTTCACAGCTCCGTGCTACTTTCCTCCCTTCTCTTGTTTTGCTCCAAAACAAGTGTTGTCTTGCTTCCAACTTCTGAGACTCTGTAGATGATCTTCAATGATGCGCAGGTCTCTTTGATGAAGATAAACACTCTGGAATGATTTCTCTTGACAGCTCTGAGTGTTTTCTCTCTTTGAATATATCAAGTAAAGTACTTGATATTTTTGCTCTGCTTAAGAACTCTCTAAATATTTTTCTCTTGAAGCTCTCTGAGTTCTTTTTCTCACACTTGAAGATTTTAGCTCTTAGAATTTTAGCTCTCTGCTCTTTTAAGCTTAATTGCTCTATTCGATCCTTTGATGGATTCGAATTTTCTGCTCTCTTGTTCGTGAGTTCGTGATCTGCTCTACTGCTCTTCACACCTTCAAGTCTTCATATCTTCATCATTTTATAGCTGGTAATGAGAATCTGTCCGTTGGAAAGAGACGCTCCCATGTCAGAGATCTTATCTTATCTTCTGCAAAAATGTCAGAAAGAGATAAGCTAGCCGTTTGAAAGATCTTCATCTCCATGTAAATGAGCTCCCAAACTTCATCTGATATTCCCCTGTTTTAACGTTGAGTGGAAATATCTGGGTCTCAGTTTTGGTGTAGAATGGCTTCTCTGATTAGCTCTGAAGTGGTCCTTGTATCTTTGGGATTCAAAAATAATCTTTATTTTAATCCCATACTAGTTAGACTAGTATTTTCCTTGTGAGAATATTTTTCACTGTAAGTTCTGCTTCATCTTCTTCATTCTCACGTCTGGGTGTTCTCAGACTTCAAACTGGCTTTGAACTTCCACCCAATTTGAATTTCTCCTTTGTAATTGACACCCAATTTCAATTGGCTTGTAATTGGCACCCAATTTGAATTTCTCCATTGTAATTGGCTCCCAATTGACTTTGACTTGCAATTGGCTCCCAACATCTCCTAGTGCTCCAATTACTTCTCAATGTTGACTTCGAAATTGGACTTCTCTTTGAATTTCATCTCAATTCAATTGCTCCTCAATGTCTTCTTTTAATTGGTCCCTAATCTGAATTGCATCTCATCTCAATTCAATTGCTCCTCAATGTCTTCCCAATCTGAATTGCATCCCATACTACAACTTGAATTGGCTCCCAATTTCAATTCTACATTGGTTTCTCTGAAACTAGCTCCCAATTTCAATTGCTTCGAAACTAGCTCCCAATTTCAATTTCTATGAAATCGGCTTGTTTCGAAACTAGCTCCCAATTTCAATTTCTATGAAATCGGCTCCCAATTCCTTTGAATTGGCTCCCAAGTGCAATTGCATCTCAATTGCCACCCAAGTGAAATTGCTTCCCAATTTCCACTTGTAATCGGCGCCCAAAGCTTAAACTAGCGCCCAACTCCATCAGATTAATTTAATTTGACTTCTCAAATTTTACCTTGTAAAATTGTTGATAGTGAGTTTCAAACTTAAGCCATTTCGGATAATATATCAAGCATCATCCACTTCGTCTGTACAGCTTTTGACTAAATCTCCAATCATATTTGATGTACTTCTTTCTTTCCATAGATGCTTGATCTCCAAGTCAACTTCATGCATTCTTCCAATATTAATTTTCTTCACGAAAATTCTTCTGGGATATCTTCTTTGAGTAGTAGCGACGTGAATTCATATCATTCAACTTCTTCTTCAATTTGTCATTTTCTCCAGACAAATTCTTGATTTTCGGCTTTATATCTTCTTCTTCTATTTTCATCTATTTTCCTCTGTTTTTTCTCTTTTGATAATTAAATAATTTCCCGATCATGGTCTAAGACTCTACTAGACCTAAGAAATAAAATTGGGGGATCTACAAATACAAATTTGACATATCAAAACCATTACACTTTATTCCTAACACGTTAGCCGATGTCTCAGCAGAAGTCACATGGGTTGTCTCTTTACTTCAGGAACTCCGACTTCATTCTGGGAAACCTGCCACACTCTGGTGTGATAACTTGGGTGCTACCTATCTTTGTGCTAACCCAGTTTTCCATGCCAGGACCAAACACATAGAGATTGATTTTCACTTTGTTCGGGACAAGGTGGCCTCCGGGGAGTTTTTAGTTAATTTCGTGTCAACTAAAGATCAGATTGCAGACATCTTCACCAAACCCCTACCTGGACCACGTTTTGCTACGCTACGAGACAAGCTCAATGTTGTCTCACATCACCCTTGAGCTTGAGGGGGTGTGTTAGTAATGTTATTATTAGTATTTGTTATTATTATTGTAACACTTATTATTTATGTGGTAGTGGCTTAGTCTTGTGTGACTTGCCTATTAGTCAGGAGTAGTTTACGTTAGCTATCTCTCTTTTGTATTGTTCTTTCAGTTAGATTGTAACAGGGTTGATTATCCTAATCTCATCTACTCTACTTTACTTTCAAAAGATAAGCAAGCTGCACTTTAAACACATTGATAAAGCACATAAACAGTTAAGCAAGCGTAAGGAAACTCACAACCTCACCGCGTTCCTAACTGATTCTCAAAGTACTTAACTTAGATTCTTACACTTAGTCACGGAACTTAGAGTCTTTCTCATCTTAGATCTCCTAACTTAGTGTTCTTTTCTTAACTTATCCATCCTAGGACTTCAACTTAGAGTTCCTATACTCAATCCTAAGAGTCAATCTTCATAAATTCCCGCGGTTCACACCGCTCTGATACCAACTTATAACACCTCACTTTTCTTAAATCTAAATCACGAATACTTAATTCCAAAAGATAAACAAAAAAAGATTAAAATAAGATTGATAACTTAAAACCATCCCAAAGGGTGTCACCGCCACAATCATCACACACGATGAATGCAGAGGCTAGCAAAAACTCTAACTAAAGTCAAGTTTAAACAAGCTACATCCAACTTGGGGACTAACACCCCGGTGTCCATCACCAACAAAAACATCCAACAAAATTAACTTCCAAAGTTTAATCAAACATACTGGATAAGAGTTTAGACTACAACTAGCTCTCTAAGCTAACACAAGTCTAACTCGATCGCGCTCAAGAACCGGGTCCACCTTAAAGGGGTTAACAAACAAGCAAATAGAAAACAACCCGTTAGCACGAATACTAAGTATAACGCCACTCAACCCTGTAAAGTACTATAGAATATACTTTTGGAAAACATTTGACACGTACACTTAGATCAAGTATTCTCAATCACTTTAAACAACAACTCAAACATAGTCAACAATAATTCTATATGCTTACAACCCAATTATCAAATAGGCATGCTTTCCCAACATTTAACTCATCATTAGTCTCATGCTTTCACAGATATATTAATCATGGCGAAATACTCTACTCAAACTCAAGCTGATAAATATAGAAATACTTAAACTTTCACAAGCAAACTCATGCTATCAAGTTGATCGATAAACAACAATATAAAGTCATACTTCTTCTCATACTTTCATGCAAAACGTGCAACTCATATTCGACCTTGGAAAACCAAAATGTGCATGCCATATCCACAAATCATAATCAGCTACAGCTTCAAGAATAATAGTTGGTTCTTGACTACGCCCAGAATATTGACCTGCCCAAGCTGTTGGACAATTTTCCAAGTCCAGTGCATACAATCTAAGCTCCCAAGCATCCCTGGAAAACCACGACTCTCGCCAATTTGAAGCAACCTTGCAACATCATTAGCATCAGGTGATAGCGCTCCCCGAAGACCTATCTACAATTGCTCGGCAAAATATCTTCAAACTTTCAATTGCAGTTGATTCTCCAATTTGAATGTATTCATTTGTTGCATCCTCTGGTACCCCCATAAGCCAAAATTCGAAAGGCTGCTGTTACTTTTTGTAAAGTAGACAAGCCCGCCCTTCCAATTCTATCTCTCCGTTGCACAAAGTAGTTGTCATGATCTTCAACGGCATTGGCAATTCGTAAAAATAAATTTCGACTCATTCGAAATCGTCTACGAAACATTGTTTCATTATATTTTGGATTTTCTGAAAAATAATCAGCCCATAACCTTCGATCACCATCTACACGATCACGATGAATCACTCTACGGTCAGGAATCGAACCACCGTGCCTTGAGTTGCTAGCTTGATTTGCCATAGTTTCTATATAGTAAGTCATGGCAGCGTTGTTGTTAGCATATAAATTTAGTAATGCTTGCTCTTGTGATTGTATTAGAGTATTGAGATCAAGATCATCCTCTGATTGTTGGGATAAGGGTGAGGGTGAGGATGAAAAAGAAAATGATATAGGACGTTTACCATTGTTAGAATTCATAATTAAATATTGATATGATGAAAAGATGAATGATAACTTTGTATGTGATGTACTAGTATTTACAATAAGATATGAAATCTTATCACAATAAGATATTAGGATTGTTTTTTAACTGTTAGATTAAATATCAACAATCTTAACCATTCATTGGTATGCAAATCTTGATAATACACAATCCAATGAAAGACAATAAGATTTTATGATTGTTTTTAACCGTTACATTAAATAATAATAAGATATCAGTATTGTTTTTAACATTGTTTTTAAGAAGAAACAAAAATTATTTATTATTATTACTGGAAGTTAAATGTGCTTCTTCAAGAAAATCTGTTGCTTCATAGTCAAACAAAGAGGCAAAGAGTCCGTGGAAACGGATTCCGTGTCTTGTTAAAGCACTACAATTCACGTTAAATCACAGCACAGGACTTTTCTTTCATACACCTTTCAACAAATACTTCATGGGCATTTTATAGAACAACAGCTACCCAATACATTTAGCAGCCAAAAGAAAAATGACGACTTGTGCTGTCAAAGGAGGATGTCCCAGCGACTACATAGCCATCTCCATCGCTCTTGCCTCCATAATCTTGTAATTTCTTGCTTCGGTCCTTGTTTTTTCTCATAAAAATTGCATCTTTAGTTTCTGACCAAGAATTACAGCTTATGAGGGTGCGTGTGTTTTTGTTGTTTAATTGATCTAAACTATCACTCTGGGTCTTAATTTGTTTTCTGATCTGAAATGAGGATTAGCTACATACTGGAAATTGTGAAGCCAATAGCCATGGGTCGTTGTTTTCTTGCTCTTTCTGGCTGTTATGCTGAGGAAAAGGATTTGATATCTTGTAGTTTCTATTTATATTATAAATAGAAATTAATTGTATTAAGCTTTTGAAATTTGATTGTAGACTACTTGCAAAATCCATGTCGCCATATCTGATTCACAAGATCCCAAGGCCCAGAGGAAGTAGCTTCTGGCTTGTTGCAATTCAAGTCTTTGCAAGCTTCAACCTTTTGTTGTCAATTGTGGTAATGAGTGAGGCTTTACTACTGCAAATATAATTTATTATATTCCATTTGATATTCATTTCCAGTTATAGGATCCTTATAATTGCCTCAGGCAACAAACAGTAGCTTGAAACCTTCTATGGCTTTTCCAGATGGCCCTCCATCTCTTAAAATTCAGAAAGAGGCATTGGTGGAAATCTTGCTATCTTTGGGCAGGTTAATTACTATCGTATGACTAAAAATTGGACTTTAGTTTTCTTGCCTAATGCTTTCTGCTTTACTCAAACTCGCAAATAATGATGGGTTGGTCATATTGCATTCCAGTTTGGATTGAGGGTCCTCTTGGCTTTGGTTTGCTGTTGAGCTGCCGCATTGCACAGGCATTTCACCTGTATTTTGTGTTTGTGAAGTAAGTTTGCTTCTTTAACGCAGGAGCTACTGCATGTTCCTTAAAATGGTTAACTGATTATTTTGGGATTTGTTTCATAAAATCAAGTTCTTATATAAACCTACTTAATGGACAAGGCAATCTCCCCGGCCTCCCAAGCCTGGGAACAAAAGAAATAAAGAAATGACCTTTGCAGAAGGAACCTGTTAAGAGTCCACATTGAAAAAATAAGAGAGAACATATGGGTCTATAAGGCTATGAGTTAGACTAGCTAATTGATTTGATCCAATTTTTTTAGTGTGGTTTGGCCGATGTGCATTATAGCCACCTTAGCAAATTATTTTGTGGACCCGGGTCCACCTTGTTCACAATTTACCTTTTAAAAATTCACAATTTATATACTACGAACACAATGTTTAACATATATTTAATTGATTACCTTGTTTTGTATTCAAAAGTTCCTTTCAAATATTGCAATCACACAATATTAACAGATTAGGATTTGATGATCATGTATGTATTCACAAATTTCCTTCTACAGCTGTTGTGTGTTTTGACTTAGAAACACAATTTATATTCTAGAACTTCACAATTCCAATACTAAAAATACACAATTTATACGTCGTTTAGGACCAGGGTCCACCTTGCAAGGTGGACCCTGGTCTATTGTATGACCTTGGCCCAATCTTAGATTATAATATGGTATTAGAGCCTTGTTTGGTCCACTTTGTGTTCACCCGGTTGTCTACCCATGGTATTGGTGTTGTTCAGTCCACTTCAAACATATGGGTTTAGTGTGGTTTGACCCATGTGCATTATAACCCATAATGCAACTTGGTAAAGAGATGGTCACATAATACAGACATGGGTAGAGGTAGTGGATGAGTGTCCCAAAGTCTCTGGAATGTTAAAATAGGCAAACCCCATCCATTGTCTCTTTCCTTTCAGTGAATATCAGTTGCTATTAGTGGTTTATCTAGATTTTTCTTGTCCTTGACTGTCCAGTTTATGTTACTAACTTCTCCCATGTTTAGTTTAACCTTATTCATCTTCACTTGCTTGTCTGATGTTTCAGGAGACGTCTGCCGCCAATCAGATCCTATATATTCCTCCCAATGATTCTCTTGCCATGGATTGCTGGTGCTTCCTGTAAGACTGATTTATTTGTTTTTGTTTTTGTTTTTTGTTTTTTGTTTGTTTTTTTGGTTGTGTGTGTGTGCAGTGTGAGAGTTCCTTGGCGCTTATGTGCTTGATGGAAGAAGAAACAAATATACGTCTTTCATATTCTACTTGAAAACTTTTGCACTTTATTATTTTATTACAATTATTAAGTCATTCAGCATATTGCTGCTGCTATATGTTATTTGTCTTTAAACTGTCCACCATCTGTTGAACTATGTTCATTGTTGTTAGCAAGGTAGGCATGTATCCTTTTCTTTTTCTCTCCTCCTTCACCCCCCTCCCCCCTGCATTTAGATACGTTAAAAGTTCAAAACATAAGGATCTTAATGCCACAAACAATATGCTGGATGGGAGAGTTTCCAGTCATAATACTGATAATCAAGGTAGCACTTCATGGCTGAATCTGCTAGCCAATATCTTTGGTATTACAAATTGTTGTAAATGTTATTTTTGACTTTTTCTCTCTTTTAATTTTTTTTTTTTTTAATTTTTTTTTTTTTTTTTAAAGAAGGCATGTTTTACTTGCCCTATTTTCATTTGAAGTGTTTTCTGTATTATCAGTAACAGAATTTTTTATGCTGATTTGTTCATGTCAAGAAAGCCTTTATATTGCTTTAAAAAATGGCAGTTTCTTTGCTGCAGTTCTTCTCAAAGAGAAGCCTCTAAATGACCATTGCCACATGGGGGTTCGGTGGATCATTCCTGTTATTTCTCTTCACGCAATATATGTCGCCACTTTGATTGGTTTTACAGGAGCTATTCATCACATAGAGTTCAGATTCCATGAACTCAAAGCCCTCTGGAGGGGAATACTTGTTTCCACGGCTTCCCTTGGTATTTCTGTTTACATTTTGCTTTTTTATTTTTATTATTTAATTATTTTTTTTTTGGCACCTGTGCAACATATTTCATACTATTATAATATACTCTATGTATGTAAAGATATTTAAGCGTATGATTAATTGCACTAGTTTTTGTGTTGTAAGGACTTTGGATAGTTGCCTATGTTTTGAACGAGATTCATGAGGAAATATCATGGCTTCAAGTTGCTTCCAGATTTGTGTTATTAGTTATGGTACGATTCCAGGGATGCTATTATTTGAATTAATTTATCACAAACTGGACCTAAAACTGAAGTTATTAAGTATTTGGCGTTTTTGGGTCCCCAGACAAGTGCCCTTGTGCTGGCATTTTTCTCTTTTTCAATTTCTCAACCACTTGCCTCGCTTATGAGCATGACAAAGAAGGATGAAGGGGAGTACCAGACAATGGGTCAGGCATTGGGCATACCTGATAGTGGGGTTCTTTTTCAAAGGGAATCATCATGGGATTTCAACCCCAATGAACCTTTGGATAAGCTTCTGCTGAACAACAGGTTTCGTCAATCCTTCATGGCATTTGCAGACAGGTATCTTTTTTGTCGAGGACCTAATGTTTCTGAATTGGATGACGAGGGAAACCTCACAACCCTTTCGAGTATGAGTAAACCCCGCCTTTGTGACCCTAGCCGGCAAAGGACCACAAGGACGTAAACCAGCCTAGGTTACCCATAGCTGACCAACCAAGGAACTCGTGACCTTATGGTTACAAGTGTGTATCTCTTGCCATCTTGGCTGGGGTTACCCCCTTTGTAAATTTGTACTTGAGATAGGAGGAAGAGGAGCAGTTGGTCTTATCTTATTGATCAAAGTTGAATGAGAAGCATATTGATTTGCTAATCACACTATCTCAAATTCTTATAAATTGAATCACTTTTCTGTAAAAATTCTGCAATATTGGTTCCCCTTCATAGCTTGTAGTAATATAGTATTAAAGTTGATGTAGATAGTGGACCGAACAGGCTTTGATATCATCAATGTTATTATAATCTAAGATTGGCCAAGGTCACTTAACAGGGCTATAATGCACATGAGTCAAACCATTAAATCTAACCCATGGCCTTATAAACTCATATATTCTTTCATTTTTTTCAATGTGGGACTCTTAACATTTCTATTCATCTTGTAGTTGTTTGGCTGGGGAGAGTGTCCATTTTTATGAAGAACTTCAACAGCTTGATAAATTATCCATAAATGATCCTGTCAGGAGAATATACATGGCACGACACATTATTGAGAAGTATATAGTTGCAGGTAGGATGAAATCTGATATGTCAATTATAGGGGAATTGAATTAAATTAAATAAATTCGCCATTTCATATATCTGTTCATTTCAATTTCTTCTACAGAATGAGTTTTGTGTAGCTTCATGTAACACCTGCTATATAGTTCATGGGGCTTTTGTTTTCTGAATTGCATTTGCATTTGCATTTGCGTTTAGGTGCACCAATGGAGGTGAATATATCACACCATTGCCGGCAGGACATTTTGACTACTTCCGATCTAGCACATCCGCAACTCTTTCAAAATGCTCTAGCGGAACTGATGCAATTGATGAAACTAGTAAGACTCTTACCTAAACACGTATACTTTCTATATTCTTACGACTTGCTACTAATATAATGGTGTTCGTTTATCCTAACACCTTTTTTTCTCTTGTTTTCACCCTTCTTATCTCTTTACTTGAATCTCCATTGTCGTCTCGTTTAAAGAATTTAGCCAAGGACTACTGGTCTTCAACGTTTTTTATGAAGCTGAGAGACGAGGTCAGCATGAGAACAGTCCATCATGGTCTAGACGATAGTAGCTGGAATTTCTCTCCGCGGTTGAGTTCTGTTCACTGCACAGACGACCCTTTCCACCATGAACACAGCCCAGTGGACTCTGCTGGCAAGCATCGAGATTCGGGACTGCAATGAGAAGAGTTGTGTGAGTTCTCAAATGCTGTAGTTGAGAAGAATGAAAAGAGAAAGAAGATTATAAATACGCTAAGACTCGGATCGGGCTTTCTCGTCAAGGTCTCTTCGACTTGCCCCAACCAGAAAACGAGAGCTATGGCCATGCTAGTTGGAGCTTGTTAAGCTCTTCAGTTTGCTCTCAAAGATGAAACCTTAGCTTTGGGGTTTTGGGCAAACTCACAGTGCCTTTTAGAATGAAATCCAAGAAACACACTTGAGATGAGATGCCTTACTTCACAGATGGTGGTATAAATTAGTTGTGAATGTATATAATTTATCAGCAATAAACATTTATTTGTAAATAATGTTTCAAATGTATTGCTCTCTTACTAAATTAATAAAATCTAAGCTTTCTGTTCAATTACTTATATGATGAAGACAGGTTGAAAACACACAAGCTATCTGTGTCCAACATTTGAGGTGTTTGGCAATTAGCTAATAACTGAATAGGTTAGTTGTTAGCTATTTTATAAGCTGATAATATTAGTTGGTTATACAAATATGTTTGGTATATTAACAGTATAAGCATATTGTATTAATTCCATAACTCTTACATTTACTTTTAGAGTTAATAATCAAAATGATCTCTCGACTATGCCGTAATTATCAATTTAATTATCGATTATCATTCTTAAAATTAATAACTCTTGAACTTCTCCTTCAACACCGACTTGTGATGGGAGCCAGAGCCAGAACAAGGCCTTGGAGATCGCAAGGTGGAGGAGTAGATTCCTCAATTCCAAAAAAAAAACAAAAAAAAAAATTATAACGGTGAAGGGGGAGTACATTCCTCAATTCCAACCCAATCCTTACTAGCATCTTTTATTCCAGGGAATGCAGTCCAAACCCCTGGCTCTGATTTCTCTCTTCTGCTTTGAGGCCGTGACGATTTCTTCTCCGATCCCACTGCATGCATGAAGCAGCGATGGAGCTCCTCCGCCTGCGATCTTCGATTTTTCCGGCGAACAGACCATAGGCGGCGGTTGGATCCTTCCGGCGACCAAACTATTGAAGTGGCGAAGGAGTTGATCTGGATTTGTTGAATCGTTTGTTCGAAGTTTAAAACCTTCTTCTCCTTCTACGCAAAAACCTTCAATCACTCACATCATCTTCGACTTCTTCTTGGTATGTATGCACGTTAGTTTATATGCAGCCATTACTTTCTATTTGTTTCTACACTTTAAGCTTGTTTTCCGATCCGGTGCTATTTTCCCGGGTTAGGTTACGTTGTTCATAATCTCATTCTCGCTGGACATGATGTGCATGTGATCACTGGTGCGCGAGACTTTGTTTTCACATCTGAGATTCCACAACACCTCACACAGATTAGCTACTTCGATTAGCGTTTTTTACTCATAAATTTCACTAATTAAGCCATGTTGGTATATAACTGTAATTTTTATCTGTTTTGTTTTATTGTAGGTATGTATGCGTCCAAGGAAGAAAACTTATGAAATTATATTTTTGTCTCTAATTTTAACCATCAACTAACAGACAAGTTAACGCAGGGCCGGATTTTAGGCTGTGCAAGCTGGGCTATCGCACAGGGCCCCTAATTTTAGAGGGACCCCAAATTTTAGAGGTCCAATATTTAATTTTTATCTAGCTAGTTTAGAAATAAAAATTAAAATTTTTCAATTAAACTTAAAAGCTTCTATGAATATATGATAAGAATGTGTGTTTATTGTATTTTAACTTTGAGGTCAAAGGTTCAAAACTTGCATGTATTGATTTTAAAAATTGTGATTTTGGTAGGGCCACATTTATTTACCAAAACAGGGCCACCAAAACTTAAAATACGGCCCTGAGTTAACGAAAGACTAAAAATTCCACAAAGATTACATAGTTAGGGATTTAACTGGGTAAGAATAATAGTCAAAGACTAAATTAGTAATTACGGCATCAAGAGACCATTTTGGTTATTAACTCTTTACTTTTATAATATATTGTTGTTGTTGTTGTTGTTGTTATATATATATCCTTTGTTTCAACACCCTTAAATATGTAAATTTTTAGAGAGGTGATTCTACAATTGTAGATCTATAGAATTCATAAATTCTTAACTGGAGAATCAAATCTTAAAAAAAAAAAAAAATCAATAGTAAAGGAACCAATTATAGTTAAAATGAAAGTCGATGGTAAAAATTAGTAACTGTCAATAGTTAAGAAACTATTTTTGGAATTCTCTCTTTCTCTCTTTCTCTTTCTCTCTCTCTCTCTCTCTCTCTCTATATATATATATATATATATATATATATATATATATATATATATATATATATACCCTTGATTTATGTCCCTCTTTTTGTATGCAAATAAATGTATACATTTTACTTTAAATGTTGTACATTTTAATGTTATTAGACAAAACTACCCTTATACTGTTATAACACCGTTAGTTTTTAATTCTAACATTGATAACACATCATTATTACCATACACCTATGTCTATCATATCTTTTTTCTATTTTTAATTGTCATTTTATTAAAATCATTATATAATTAATTTAATACTTAATTAGATTTTAATAAAATTTCTATGAATGATAAATTATATATGTGTGTGTACAAAATACATATATTATTTGTGTATATATAATTCAAATTATAATTTTTAATTATTTATACTTATCAATATTTTAATACTGGGCATGAATTTTCGCGTATTGCGCGTACAAAATGCTAGTGTATATATATATATATATATATATATATATATATATGTATATATATATATATGTCACACAATTCTACTATTCCATTTGAAACATATTAATATGCATTCATGCTTCAATTCACACTTATGTTATGTACGAGTTTTTTTACGCGCTTTGCGCGAATAGAATAATGTCCGATGATTATTTTAAATAAGTATTTTAAAGTATACCAATGCAATATTATATCGGAGATGTTCATGCATAGGTAAATAAAAATATTGAATTTGTTTATTTATATCAGTAATTTAAAGTATATAAATGCAAGATAATATATGAGAGATTAATTATATTGTTACTAAAATAAATGTTTGCAACTTTGTAATAATGCTAGTCTAAAAGCAATAGTCTAAATAAATACAACTTTTGGTTTAAATTTCTATAATTCTTCTTAATTATTTTTTGGGTAGCATTGTCATTGTCTTCATCTTCAGTACATGTCTTTTTTTTTTTTTTTTTTTTTTTTTTTTTGCTAATGTGTCATGTGCAATTGGGTTACTGGTGGTAGCATAGATGGATTCATCGTGCAATGAGATTATGGTGTAGGAAGCTTTAGATTTGCCTTGTTGTGTGTATGATGAGATCTTAGTTGAACTATTAACTCTTTACCTTACAAACACCTACTGATATTTGGTAGTGATAATTTTTTCCCTACATGTTTCATGTGTTGTGAGATGTGCGTCGTAGGTTATCATGTGAAAGTATTGAACAAAATATTAATATTTATTAGGGAAAATGACACTTTTTCCCCCTATGTTATATACTTATAGCACTTTTTCCCCCTCAATTATTTAAGTGGCTCTTTTTCCCCCTGAAATGTTAAATGGACATATTTACCCTTAAAATAAATATTTCATTTATTTTTATTCTCCAATAAATTATTACTATAATTTGGTTCAAACCTGATACTATAGTAACCAAACCAAAATATTCCAATTACAATTTATAATCAAAACGCGATATTTAGAGTTTATTAAAATCACGAACTGGAATGGCCGGTTCATGTTCCGAACTGAAAAAATAAAATACATTTATTGTTGAATTTAAACTATTTTAAAATAAAAAATAAAATTTTAAAATAAAGACGGTTCAAAATCGCGAACGGGATCCGGAACCGCCGGTTCATGATCCAGTTTTTTTTTATTCTTAAATTTAATAAATTGAAATCCAAATATTGGGTTCTAGATCTGAATCATAACTGAAAACTTTTAATTCGATTGTTATAGTGTCTGGTTCAGTTCGAACCGAACCGTGGTAATTGCTACATATACGCAATAATTTGCTGGAGAAGTAAAATAAATAAAATGTTTACTTTAAGGGTAGAAATGTCAATTTAATATATTAGGGGGGAAAACCACCACTTTTAAAATAATTGAGGGGGCTAATGTGCTTACATAAATAATTGAGGGGGAAAAAGTGCTATAAGTATATAACATAGGGGGAAAAAGTGCCATTTTCCCTATTTATTATATTTGTATAAAATAATTGGTAAATAAATAAATAAATATATATATATATATATATATATATATATATATATATATATATATATATATATATATATATATATATATATATATATATATATATATATATATATAACATATTTTGTATTATAACTTTGATATTTAATTACAAGATAATGTGAAAAGAAGACAATGGACAATGTAGTGAATATAATAAATTAATAAATTTGAAGGTAATGATCTTTGAATTGAATAGTAGAACATAAAGATAATATAACTATTGAAATTATATCTCTTTTTAAATTTTTTATAATGAATCATTTTTTTTTTTGAAATAAATGCATTATATACATTTAATTCTAAATTAATTAAATCCATATGTATTATTTTTTGTTGTAGCAACTAATTTATTTCTACAAATTTACAAATCTAATAAGAGCCAATAATGTTAGGCCCTTAACTGGAACAAAAAAATGTCGGTAGTAGTTGTTTATTAAAATAAATGGTTTATATTATCTTGATTTTAGTATCTTTTAATGATTTCCCTTATTTACGCTCTATTATACTATTTTCTTCCCTTAAATAACCTAAATTCCGTTACTATAAACTTTAGTAACGGATTATTTCGTTAACTATTTATTATTCTTAACATACTCATTAATTTATATAAGAAAGGTTTTAGGTTCGAATCCCATCCCAATTAGAGTTGTCATAATTGTTAAACATATATTATGAATATGTTAAAATGTATATATATATATATATATATATATATATATATATATATATATATATATATATATATATATATATATATATATATATATATATATATATATATATATATATATATATATATATATATATATATATATATATATATATATATTGATAGCGTAAATTGAACCGGGAGTTACGATTACACTACGAATACATATGTTTGTGAACGAGTAGAACAGAGCGTTCGTCGGTTAATCGGTCTACCGGGGGTCGGTCTACCGGACGACGACTGAGCAGTCCGAGGCTGAGTAGTATTACAAGTAATAAGTAGTAGGTTATAATGAGATGAAGATATCAGAATGAAGGGGAGACCCTCCTATTTATAATGTCTAAGTCGGTCTACCCATTTAATGTGCTTGCTGCAAGTGGATCGACGTGGCGTCTTCTCGTTGGCTCAGTCAGACGGTC